CGTACAGCACCTCGAAACCCCTCGTGGCCCGCCTTGACGAGCCAGGAAGGGCACGGATCCAGGGAGCATGTGGTTGGGCGCACAGTTACGAGCAATCTGTCAGCTTCTTCCAAACTGAGCGGCTCAAAGCATTCTAAACTCAACGAGGACGTGCAAGGGGCCTCAAGTTCGCTCACTGTTTCAACTGTGGCGGGGAGGTCACGGCGGAGCACCGAGACTTTGTCCGCAAAATAGCTCGCGAAAGCCTCACAGCCTATGGCCAATTCCCTACTATTTTGTCTGCCCTGTGGCAGAGTTGTTAAAGACCGAATTATTCTAAATAATTGGGCTGGGCGAGAGCTAGCGGACGCAATCGCGGCTGCATAGAATTCCTTCTTAGCAGCTTTGACCGCCATCTCGTAGGATTTCATAAGCGTCCTGAAGGATGTTCTCGATGCTTCGTCACGAGCTCGCCGCCACCGTCTCTCTAGCCGTCTAAGTTCCCGCTTCATAAGTCAAAGCCCCTGGGTATACCAGGGGGCCAACCTAGTGCGGGGGCGCAGAGGGCGCCGGTGAGCGATCTCATCGATGGCTGCGGAAAGCCAGCCATGCCAGTCCCCCAGAAGCTCATCTAATGAGCCGCCAGGGGGCATCGGATCCCGCAGAGCCAGCTGAAGCCGTACATGGTCCATTTGGCTCCGCGGGCGAGCTAAAATCTGCTCGCCGCCGAAACGGGGTCGGGGTGGGATGTTCAGACGAGCCTTCAGGGGGTAGTGGTCCGACCATGGTACTGCCATAGCAGTAATCCGGTCCACTATAATCCCCGCAGCGAAGATGAGATCGAGCGTGTGCCCGGCCTGGTGTGTGGGGACCGATACACATTGGGAGAATGCAGCGGTGCAGGTTCTAACAGGAACGCTATTGACAGCCCACATTCAACCAGTGCACCGCCAGCTGCACTGGCTTCAAGTTGAATACCAGATCAGGTTCAAGGTGCTGGTATTGACCTTCAACACCCTACAACAGTGGTGGCAAACCTATGGCACGGGTGCCAGAGGTGGCACTCAGAGCCCTCTCTGTGGGCACGCGTGCCATTGCCCCAGCCAGGCCCAGACCATCATTAAAGTGTCGAATTCTCTGCCAAATAATTTTAAGTGAATGAAAGCATTTGGGATTGCTTTCCTTACTTTGTTTGGATCATCTTAAGTTCATGTATCAGTTGTTTATTCTAAAGTTAAACCTCAGTATTCAGGTTAAATTGCCGTGTTGGCACTTTGCGATAAATAAGTGGGTTTGGGGTCACAGTTTGGGCACTCGGTCTCTAAAAGGTTCGCCACCACTGCCCTACACAGTCTGGGGCCAGCGTGTCTGCAGGACCGCCTCTCCTGGTACATCCCCCAAAGAACACTTTGCTCAGGATAGAAGAACTTGCTGGTGATCCCTGGCTTGAGAAAAGTCCAGCTGTCCTCAACCAGAGCCAAGGCCTTCTCCGGCCCTGGCGCCTACTTGGTGGAACTCCCTGCTGAATGACAACAGGCCCCTGCGGGACTCAATGTGATTCTGCAGGGCCTGTAAGACAGAAATGTCACGCTAAGCTTATGGTTGAGGATAGGAATAGGTTCCATCTAGCCTGGCTCCTCCTTCCTTCTCCCCCCACTGGGAAAGAATACTAAGTTGTATATTTACGTGCCACCTGTAAGCTCTTTGCTGAATAGTTTAGGTTGTTTTAACATGATATTTGGTATTTGAATTTGTATACTGAAAATGTTATTCCCCCACCCTGAGCCCTGTTGCACAGGGGAGGGCAGGTTATAGGTAAAATAAATAAATAAGAAGTCTTTATCACCCTTAACCCCTTTTGTGCCTGTGGTACTATTTCCAGAGACCTTGCTTCTTTTTTTTGAAGAAAACTGGCAAGTAGAGGGAAAATGGCACAAGAAAGGGCTTTCAGTTCCTGCAGTGATGGAGGAGGCCTGTGTTCCTGGGCTAGCTGACAATCCCGACTCAGACAGCATACTTTCCACGCTCAAAGAAGTTGCCAAAGACACCAAACAAATGAAAGAAGAGCAGGCAGCTCTTTGATTTGAGCTTTAAAAGACCTTAAACTGGATGAAGCTGAACCAAGATTCAAAAGCCTCTAAAGTGTACTATCGAACCTTCATAACTGCAACTAGATTGCTTAAAATTAAAATCTAAACTTACTGATGAGGAAGGAGGAGACCAAAAATGTGATGGACTGTCAGAGAGCTCACAGATCCTGAGAAGAGAGGCCCAATCCTGATCAATCATTTTCAAACTGCTACATCTATATACTACTAGCCAAGAGACCCCCCTGTGTGTGAATATCTAAATCCACACATCGGGGGCACATAGGAGGCAGAGAGATTTTTCTGAACACTTGGAGCAGTCCCCAGGTGTGCAGAAAAATCTGAAAATTTTAAAAAACTATATGGGGAATACTTAAATCCCCCCAAAAGTAGGGGGGGAGAAGAAGGCCTGGCGGGCCCGGCTATGACATCTTCCTCAAAGATGCTGGCCACCTCACCTCCTCCGTCCCAGTTTCCCACTCGAGCCACACAAGAAACCCGTCGATGCTGAAAGTGGCATTCCGGCATTTTTTAAATCCTTCTGTTGCTCAGTGAGCCATCCGGGAAGCAGGCTAGCAGCAGCAGCCGCATCTCACTCTTGCCCTTGAACCTCTCCCTCAGGCAGCCCTCTGCCGCCGACTTTCACAGCGCCTTTGGTGCTGGGGATGGTGGGAAAAGGCTTGGCAGGCCCAGCGGCTAGGAGCTGCTCAGGCCTCGGTGCCGGGGTGTGTGTGTGGGGAGGGCAGGAAAAGGCTTACCTGCGGCTGCTTCCTCCTCCTGAATGGGGAGCTGCTTCTGGAGGCTGGGAGCCTTTGGGAATAACCCCCCCCCCGCGAGTATCGCAGGTCCTGCTTCTTGATTCTCAACCAAATGTCCATTTGACTGGAGAGCTGGAACTAGATCCTATTTCAAAATTTCCCTTAATAGGGGTTACACGGAACAAGAAACTTCCAGCAAGCAAATATTCTAGCCAGTGATAACGACTTTGAATATTTCTTCAAATATCTGGCTACTACACGTAACATGCACAAGTTGCCTTAAAAAACAATTCATCAGGCCCTCCACAGCAGAATTCATCCAACTGCTGTAATTTTCATATGGCATTTCTTCCCCCCCTTCCCTCCTTCCTCTCCTTCTTTATCCCAAAATGAGTTATAAGTATACTTTTAATGTTTTTGTAACACTACGAGGGAGGGGGGATTCTTCTGATAAGCACAATTTACATTGAGATTGCCCTGCTCTGCTGTTTACTCTGAGACCTGATCACACACATGCAATTTAAGAAAGGGAACGAGGGCAGGAGAGAGATGCATCTGGGATAAGGGGAATTAAAAGGAAATTATTTTGGCTTATTCTGAAAAGGTGAATTTAAAAAAAAAAGATTTCTCTGTGCCTATCTGGGATTTTTTTTCTTTTAAAAAGACCACAATTAGGAATTACAACACATGGATTGGATTCCATTGTTTAATGACTGGAAGTAGATAGCTAAGTATTTAAAAATACATCTATGGTTCCAGCCTCTCGCTGTCTCCCTCCCACCTCACTGGCTGTCTTACTTCACATTAACCCCCCCCCTTAAACTGTTTCATTATCAGCTCTAGCACGGAAAGGATTTTGCCCCATCTGAAATCAACACGATATTTCACAGAGGAGGAGGAGGAGGTGGAGAAGAAACCTAACAGCACAGCTTGCAATCTTTATTAGAGGAAAGGAGCAAGAGTCCAGTAGCACCTTAACAACTAACAAAATTTGTGGCAGGGCATGAGTTTTCATGAGTCACTGCTCATTTCTTTAGATACAGCTAGAATATGAGTCCATCGGTCCTTATGTCTTGCAGAGTGGAGTGATTTCAGATGCAAATAACAATAGCAGGAGTTAGTAATGAGAGAAGAAACTTAGATCTCAATTCAGTCCAGGAGGATGCATTGTCTTGAGCTTCATTATCAATTCAGCAGTTTCTTTTTCTAATCTCCATTTGAAATTCCTTTGTAAGAGAACTGCTACTCTCAGGTCAGCAACTGAATGTCCTAGAACAGTGATGGTGAACCTTTTAGAGACCAAGTGCCCAAACTGCAACCCAAAGCCCACTTATGTATTGCAAAGTGCCAACACGGCAATTTAACCTGAATACTGAAGTTTTAGTTTAGAAAAAAACCTCATACATTAACATCTTTTGTCTTAAAAGAAAAACACAATAACAGAACTTTCAATTATACAAACAACTTTTTATTGAAAGGTAAAAGTTTGCATTTGGCATGCTTTTGAACAATTAATGTGATTTTTGCTGTTGTATGCATGCACATTTCCCATACACAGGAGGCGTGCAGACCTCGATCATCCATACAAGCTCTCATTTTCCCAATAGCAGGAGCCCAGGTAGGTTCCTATGGACAGCAGCCAATACATAGTTCCCCCTGACAATCCCAGATCACTGCTACTCACAAGGACTATTCCTTATCTTCCAACCCCAAAAGAGAGCATTTTCATTTGTGTTTTAAGAGCTCAAAAGAGGACAGCCACCTCCACACCATGCAGAGAGACACATTTACAGAGAAAGCCCTGGCCCTATTCTCATAAGAACATAAGATCAGACCAGTGGCCCATCCAGTCCAACACACTGTCACACAGTGGCCAAAACCCAGGGGCCACCAGGAGGTCCATCAGCGGGGCCAGGACTCCAGAAGCCCTCCCACTGTTTCTCCCCCAAGCACCAAGACATCAGAGAAGCCAGCAGTAAGGAGGGCAACAACACAGAAACTTGTGAAAGTAGAAATGTCTGCGCACGGGCAGAGAAAGGCAGGGGGCGGGGCGGGGGCACTCCGGAGGACTTTCTCTGCTCACGCGCCTGGCACACGGGCAGAGAAAGGCGGGGGACACTCAGGAAAACTGTCTCTGAGAAAGGTGGTGTGGCGGCGGCAGGCGGATGGGGCTCTCTGGAGGTCTTCTTCTGCCTGCGCGCCTTGGCACGCAGGCAAAGAAAAGCGGAGGGCGGGTGGGGGCCTTCCAGAGATCTGTGCTGGGCAACGGCAAGCGTGCCCACAGAGAGGGCTCTGTGTGCCCTCTCTGGCACGCGTGCCATAGGTTCGCCAACATGTCCTAGAAGGTTAAAGTATTTCCCCACTGGTTTTTGAATATTATGGTTTCTAATATCAGACATATGTCCATTTATTCTTTGCATCCTCCTGGACTGAATCCTCCTGTACCAAACTGAGACCTAGGTTTCCTGTCTCATTTTTATTACTAATGCTGATATCTGCACATGTACTACTCCACTGCATATCACAACTAATACAATCAAGGCTGCTACTGTCATTTGGCATCGGAAATCACCGTTATAAAGTTTATATCTCCGATACCTCATGTTACATTTTATGGCACATGTGGCCTGGCCTGACAAAGTGACATTTATGTCAGATCTGGCCCTTGTAAAATATGAGTTTGACACCTCTGCAACAGAACAAAGTTTGAGTCCACTGATGCCTTTAAGACCAACAAAGTATAATTCTGGGCGTAAGCTTTCATGTGCAGGCACACTAGAAATGTATATACACATGGGGGTGTGGCGTCGATGCTGACTGTAATAGACACCTAAGGACTTCGCTCTGACCCTCCTATTCTCCTGAACCTTGCAAGTAATCAGTAAATCGCCTCCTACCCTCTGTAAGTCATAGGTAAACTTGAAGCAGACAAAGCAGCATCAACTTCTAGCGCCCACAAAGGCATTCCAGAGTTCTTTCCCAAGACTCACCAATCTAGATCTCCAGAAGATGGCCTCGATGAAGTGGCCAAAATGGCGACAGAGGAAAATGCCACAGTCCCGCCTCCCACCCTTCAGCCAGATAGCGCAAACGCGGCACTGATCGTATCCATGGAGGAAAGGGTTTTAGACAACATGTCAGCCCTCATTTGTCCGCTGACTGAGCAATTTGCCGATTTTAAACTAACACTACAAAAGGTGAGCTAAACTGTGGAAGGTGCAAGAGATCTCAGCCTCTCACTACAAGATGATGTGAAATCTCTCCACACGGAAACTGACACTCTCAGAGATCAGGTTGTCTCCCTGGAAGCTTCCTCAAGGTGGCTTACCCTTAAGTTTAGAGGCTATGCTGAACAATCAAATGAAAATATGGACTTACCAATTTTCCTGGCAGAATGGCTGGCTTATGAACTTCAATTAGAGGAAGGTATTGCCCCTCTGATAATAGCAGCCTACCATCTAGGTCCGATTGAAAATGTGACTCGCCGAGGCCCCAGGGATATCCTTGTGACGATACCAGACATGAGAACCCGGAGGAAAATTTTGGACCTGGCCAGGTCTCAAGGTTATCGATTAAAAACAACCAGATTCTAGTCTTCCCTAACTTGCCACCAGACATCTTGACTAAGCGACGCGAATTGAAGCTGATCACCGAAGCTCTGAGGCAAGCATGAATATGCTATAAATGGATCAAGTTCACCAGACTTCAAATATCACATGACAGGTTCCTTTATGCTGAAGTCATCGAGGCTAGAAACAGAATCCTACAAACTCTACATATCTCCTCATCATCAGATTCAAGCACGATGTCACAAAAACGGAAAAGGCCGCTTTCACCTAACAAGGACAGTAAGAGGGCTATTAGGCACACCTAGTCCTCTATGCTCAGCTCAATATTGGGAACGTTTGCTGACTTTGTAGATCTTGTCTGCTTATACCTAGATTGCCAGTAAAGTTACACCAGTTTGGTGTAGTGGTTAAGTGCGCGGAGTCTAATCTGGGAGAACCGGGTTTGATTCCCCACTCCTCCACTTGCACCTGCTGATGTGACCTTGGGTCAGTCACAAGCTCTGGCACAGCTGTCCTTGAAAAAGAGCAGTTTGTGTCAGAGTTCTCTCAGCCCCACCCACCTCACAGGGTGTCTGTTGTGGGGAAGGGAAGGGAAAGGAGTTTGTAAGCTGCTCTGAGACTCCAAATGAAGAGCGGGATATAAATCCAATCTCTTCTCTTCTTCTTCTAATCTTATTTTTACTAGCGAGTCCTCCACATACAAGGTGTGGGGAGGACTGTAACTGATTTGCTTCCCTTTCTACACAGTCCTTTGTTATTGGAGGGAACTCCATTGACTTGCGCTGGGCTTTGCCTGGTGGAGTTAAGTGGGAATGGTGTTGTATTTTTGTACTTGTTGTTAGGTTGTATTTCTATTTTTTAATTTTATTTTTGAGTTGACTACGGAGTAACACAGCTAAACTTCTATTTAACCTAACAGGGCACAAGTTGCTTCTTTTACTTTCATTACTAAGTAAATCCCAACAACTTCATTTTGATTTTATATAATATCCTATTACAGTGTTCCAGTGCACTTTTAGTAATTATCTGAAATTGTCCAATTGATCATTTATTATCTTGATTGCTACCAGGATTCTAATCAAACTAATTCATTCATTCATTTACTTGACCACAGCTTATGATATTGATTGCATTACAATTCATTGATTTTACTTGATTGTTACTTCTCTCTGTGATTTTACTGAATGAACTTCCTTGCGATTTATTATTGCTAATTTTATAAGGTACGGTGTTTTATACATTTTCACTTCCCACACACGCATAATCTTAATTTAACGATAGCACAAAGTGAAACATCACATTATAAACCATAGATAGTCACATCACATCGAAAATATAAGACAGAAGGCACTACATAGAACATAACATTCTTCTATCATGAACAAAGTACACTCCCAAACAAAACAAGCTTGTTACTTTACTCTCTCTTGCTTGAGAGTCAGGAAACAACATACAACAGATTCTCTCATTCAATACTGTTAATAGCTATTTGTTTCATTGTTGTGTACTACTGACATTTTACTGTTTATTGATCTAATCAGAGATACAAGTGTTAGATATCTATCCTCCTTGACTGGTTCATCATACCCACTGGTATTTCCCTGTGAACCTTTACACACAGCTCAGACATCTACACACTTTTCCACTGTTGGACTCTGTGCTTTCACAACTAGCATTGAACCAAAGTCCCCACTCACTCTCTGCATACACTCTCACTTGAACACCCACAATGACTTCTAAATGGAATGTTCTTTCACTCAATGTGAGAGGGCTAAACAATCCTATTAAGAGAAAAAGGGTGCTAACTAATTTGGCCAAATCAAAATCTCTAGTAAAAGGCAAAAGCCAAATCAAAATTACATATCATCCTGCTACAAGAAACTCACCTTCATTCATCCTTTCATCCTTTATTAAAAGCCAATTGGATCCAGCACCAGTATCACGCGAAAGGGAGCTCAAAACTGCATGGTGTAGCAATAATCATCTCCAGAAACATTTGCTTTCAGCTTCAAGAAACAAAACATGACCTTAAAGGTTGTTTCATTTTTGTTAAAGGCACCCTCGGTGAGCAGAAAGTTATGATAGCCTTGTTTTATGCACCCAACGACAACCAATTAATTTTTTTAGATGACATCTTGACCACACTGCAATCTTTCCAAGAAGGGGAGGTGATAGCAGGTGGTGATTTCAACTACATAGTGAACCCTGAGCTCGACTGGTCCCACCTCCCTAAGAGGGAGTCCAGGAGACACAGACAGAACACAAGACTAGACTCTATCTTAGAGAAATTTCATTTAATAGATATTTGGAGACACTCATCCGAATGAAAGGGACTACATGTATTTCTCCCCACGATATAAGATCTGTACATGAATCAACTTCATTCTTCTTTTGAACTCTTTAGCCAACAAGGTTCTAGATTCCGACTGGTTCCATAGTTTGGTCTGACCATGCAGGGGTGAGTTGCTCTGTTTGATCATCCGATGCCACGTGGCACACGGCACTGGTCCTTAAACAAAGCGATCCTATTGAATGCAGACTGTGCTGGCAAAATTGATCTTTGCATTCAACAATACTTGCAGAATAACTGTACAGATGACACCTCCCCTTCCATTGCTCTCAAAGCTGTACTCCGAGGCCAACTAACCTCTTTGACGACACATCTAAAAAAAGAAAAAGAAGCTCTCAAATCTGAAATCCGCTCCAGAATAGCGCATCTAGAAAAACTTCACAAAGAAAGAGCAAGTAACAAGATTTTTCAACAGCTTATCACAGAACGGAAGCTATTGGAATCGTTGGAGAATTCCCAGACACAAAAAAAACCCTTTCTCTTCCTCAAACAAAAATATTGGACCAATTCCCCCAAATCACCGAGGCTCTTATCCTGGCGGGTAAAAGAAAGGAAAATGTCAAAGTTTGTGACAGCAATACGAGACCCCACAGGACATTAACACACTGATTCTGCAAACATAACCGACTCCTTGCAGATTTCTACCGGTCACTTTATTCTTCAACCAATCCAGACCCCTCAGCCATCAATGCATTTCTTTCCACAAATATATACCTTAAGAAACTTGAGGAGATCCACTGCAAGACTATGGAGAAACTGACTGACCCTCAAGAAGTACTAGAAGTTATCAAGCTCCTTAAAAATAACAAATATGCAGGTCCGGATGGATACCCTCCAGAGTTCTACAAGAAATTTGCATTCACCTTAGCATGTCTTTTAGCTGCAGCATGCAATGGAATATTGAAATTCGGTGTAGTCCCACCCTCTTGGAGCTCTGCATCGATAACTGTACTCCCAAACAAGGGAAGGACCTAACTAACCCAGCCTCATATTTCACTCCTAAATCAAGATTACAAGATCTTTATGGTTATCCTTACTAGAAGATTGAATTCTTTTATTCTGAACTACATCCAACAAGATCAAACTGGTTTTATGCCGGGTAGAGACTTATCGGATAATGTAATCAAAATCTCCTCAATTACACTTCAATGTTATGAAAGGGGGAAATCACAGATAGTAATGTGATCAAATAACGTTGATTACTTCAGAGTATGCTACCTAAGGGTAATACAATTTCAATTTACAAAGGGGGTGAAGAGAGGTGTGAGGGAGAGATACGGGTGACTTAAGACTACAAAAAATGCAGACATATATAAAGTTATCCTTACACAAATGATTATTATTTATTAAATTTATAGATTGCCCTTCCCTGAAAGACACATGGCAGTGCACAACAGGTTAAAATACAAATAAATTAATTCCATTTACAGTAAAAACCAACAGCACTAATCGATGGCATAAAATTGCACTTCATTCCCTCTCGGGCAGATCAGGGACAGGTCACGGAGGAGGCCAAAGTGAGAGCCACAGTGCAGACTGCTGATGTCCTCAACCGTACGCCCAGTGGAACATCTCTGTTTTACACGCCCTGTGAAATTGAGCTAGGTCCCACAGGGCGTGGATGTCACCGGGTGGAGAGTTCCACCAGGCCTGGTCAAGGACAGCCGAACATTTATATTGTGTAAACTGTAATGGTCATAGGAGTTCCACCAGGCTCTGGTCAAGGACAGCCAAACATTTATATTGTAAACTGTAATGGTCATAGGTGAATAATGACCATAATGAGTGTAGTTTGAGACCAGTGGCACATTTAAGACCAACAAAGTTTAATTCTGGGTATAAGCTTTTGTGTGTATACATTTTTTAAAAATTAACTGTTTAAGTTTTTGTTTAACAAAACTACAATGTTTAACAAAACTACAAGTTTTTGTTTAACAAAACTACAATGTACATAAATCTAACAATGAGTAATACAAATTGAACTCAAAATTCTGATTTTGCTATTAAACATGTATAAACAAAGTACTAAACAAAGTTCAGGGAGCACCTAAACTAGCAACACGTGTTAAAAATGGAGGTATTAACTGACAAGTACTGGTGTATTTGGCTTAGCCTTAGTGTATGAGGTGTATTCACGACTAGACATTGTGCATGCTGATGGGAGTGCTATGAGAGAAGGGCTAGAACTCGGAGGGCTGGTTAGAAGTGAAGCATGGTTAAATAGATTGAGTTATGTGGTTGGCAATAATTTTTTAGGACATAATCCAGGAATGGGAACCATTTTTCTGTAAAGTTGGTCAACTTTGGGCAGATCTCAGATTCTCATATACGGTCTCTGATTTTTTTTCCCCATGATGAAATGGTCCCAAACTTTGTTGAACCAACAGTTACGAGTTGGGGCTGAGGAGAATTTCCATCTGGAAGCAATTGAGCTCTTTGCTGCCACCAGACTAGAGATAAGATTCTGTCTGATTTGAGGAATGACTACATTGTCCCAAATATCCAGGAAAATCAGCTCAGGTGAAAGTGGAATAGAATAGCCCGTAATGAGTTCAATTTGGAGAAAAACATCTTGCCAAAAGTTGGTTATGTGTTGGCATTTCCACCAACAGTGGACAAAGGGGTCACGCTCACCACAATTTTTCCAATAGGATGGGGAATGATCTGATGATAAAATAGCTAATTTTTTTTGGTGTGAGGTACCATCTGGTGATTTTAT